AAGTTATGATCAATAAGGGTCCACCAGTTTTGTCACTTAACCTCTCGTTCACCAATCTGTGCAGAGCACTATTGAAATCATTAGGATGGTCAATATGATCATATACTTGGTCATGGGGAAAAGGTCATAGTGCCCTACAGATTTATGTTCATTTCAGCAATGAACAAATTTATCAATTTTTCCATTAAAGTTGATCAACCTATATCCTTGTGAAAACTCATCTATGCAGTGTGACATAGTTTAGGTCATTTTACCATTTAGTCCATGGCATAAGAGATTAAATCCTTCTAACTGTAACCATTATGGTTTGTACGCCATTCTGTTGAGGTTGTATTAATATATCAACATATGTCAATTATGGTTACCTACTTTGTGACTGGATACCAACATACAAAGGATTGGCATAGATTGCCATTCTCTTGAAGCCAGATGTTGCTTAAACAAATTCAAGAGAAAGGCAGTCTATTTATCAAGTAAAAAAAGGACTGACATTTTCTTGAATTAGTTGAGCAACATCTGGCTTCATAAAGCAACCAGACAAATTAATTAGTGGACTGAAAAATAGGAAAAGAGGATGTAACATCCGTCCACAAAATAATTGGTAAAACCTGAAATCTTTCATATATCTGCTCTTGTACTCTGAAGAGCACATGATTGAAAATGGTATTATGTAATGCTTTCAGTTTTTGAAGCTACACACTTAATGATTTGATAAATTTTTCTCTCAAGCAATACAAGTTCAATCTCAAGTTGAAACCTTTTGTTGGTCTGTTAAACAATTGCTTGTGGCTTTTAATGTATATGCAGGTACGAGAGGCTCAAGTGGCACAATATAACTATATTCTGGTTGTTGGAGAAGCTGAAGCCACTAGTGGGCAGGTATTTTATTTCCCCCCAACCTTCACTGCTTTATCCCCACAGCATGCATTGCTATATTTCTTTTTAAAATGTGCAACTGAACAAACTAAGAAAAAATTCCGTATCACTTTGATCCAGCTCCATCAGCTCTCTAAGGTTCTGAAATAATCTTTGTCAAGAAAAGGTTCTGGCTGATAATAAACTTCTTGTATGTACTGTTTTGTATTGATCGAGATATTTTGTGGCTCACTTGTTTGATTTCTTCTTGTTCCTCTTCTTCCAACTCCTATTATTGACAAAGATGTATCTTATGCTAAACTTTCTACTAATTACTGATTTGTCTCTATCCCACCCCGTTTGAAGAACTAGAAAGAAAAGGGCTTCCAGCATGATTTGTGGAGGTTCATTGACAAATTCTCTTACAGTAGCCCTGGTAACAGAGATGTTTTAGGAACAAATTCTCTTATGATGTCACCTAGATGGTGTCTTCAGTAGCAGCTAAACAATTGAAAGTAGTTGCAAACTGAATATTTCCCACCAAAAGATCAGTCCCATTATAACATTCACATGAAGGAGCTTTGAGAATCTCAAAACTATTTGATAGATTTAGTAGCCAATCAGATCACCTATGGCTGGATAATTCTGACTTTACTAGGCAAGGTGTTTCTGCTGAGCTGGTGATTGATTTGTTTGGAAAAAAATATATATCTTATTTTGCTGATTTGATGGGGGTGCACATCAACTTTTGGTTCTCATTCCAAATATTCTGCTTAGTGATGTTTCTGGTTGTCAGTTTCCTGGGTTCATGCATTTCCTCCATATGATTTCTTGTCTTCTCATTTTAAATCTTGTAGCCAAGTTTTACTGCTTTTATTTTTGCTGAAAAATCTGGTCTTCTATATGTGAAAATGATTCTAGGTGAGTGTTCGAGTGAGAGACAAACCTGATCATCAAGCCATGACAGTTGACGTTCTCCTTGCTCACTTCAAAGATATGGTTGCATCATTTCAGTAAGAGTCGCCACTTCTCTTGCATTATATCCCCAAGGGCTCTGGTGAGCGCAGCACGCTAGACTCATGGACACGGGTTTGAAACCTTGTCGCAGAAGAACGAACACCTAGTATTTTGATCCATTGTAGGTATTACATTATAAATCCAGTAGGATACTTTTTGACTTGAATGGTTTTCAATAGCATGTTAGTTTCATCTTATTCTCTCTTCTAATGTGGGTTTGAGTTTTGACTTAAATGGTTTTCAATAGCTGGTAAAAGTCGTATAATTTTTTGTCCAATTAATTAATCCAGAAGGTAATTAAGGTGGCATTTTTCTTTTCACTACCTAGTGGTAATAATTTTATATTTGTTAGTGAACATTCAAAGATCTATTATAGGGAATTCTCAAATTTATAGTATTCTCAATAATTGTATGTTGTCATAAGTTACGGTTGAATAATAAAATAAAAATTGCTTGAATAAATTAAAAGATCAAAACCACGGTGCTTAATACAAAGTCATTCTAGTTGTTTAGGAATTTCATAGTACATGAAATATAAAATATAAATGAGGTATTTATGTTTTAAGTGTTAAGTGTAAGTTACCAAAAAAACAAAATAATAATTACGCCAAGCTAAATATAAAGAGGAAAGTATGGATATATACCGTTTGATCAACTAGTTAATCAGTAGAACATGTATACTAACATATGCATTAAATTAATATATTTAGTAAAAATTATACACAATCTATACACTTTGTAAATTAATTGATTGAAATGTTTAGGATCGTAATTATCACCAGGGGTGTGTAAAAAATGAACCGAAAAGATGTTATTGGGTTAACAGGTTTTTAATGATTTTATAATTTTTTTTATTGGGTTATCGGTTCGATTTTGGTTTTTACTATTGGGTTCTTGGGTAAACTGATAACCCATTAAGACGGTAGTAATTTCCTACTTTACCTTTCATAAATACTAAATATTAGCAATTTAACATAACTAAACACTATATCAGTACTCTACTACCATCTACATGATTAAATATTACTATCTTTCTTGTTTCACTGTATCAAAATTAAATATTACTATTTTTCTTGTTTCACTGTATCAAAATTAAATATTACTATCTTTCTTGTTTCACTATATCAAAATTAAATATTACTATCTTTCTTGTTTCACTATATCAAAACATTTACAGATTTGCTTATTTCACTGTATCACGCCAAATTATGAGAGAAGTGAGAAGTCATATATTTATTTTATGAGCATTTTTTTATTGAATAAACCAAAAATTGAATCGTTAAGGATCAAAAAACCGATAAAAAATATCTTATTAATTTAGCATATTCAAAATTGAAAATTGATAAACTGAACCGATAATACATAAAACTAAATTTAACCGACCGATGCACGCCCCTAATTATCACGCTATAAAGTTGGGATAATTATGGGAATTGGCCACTCGACCATCCTATTTACAAGAAAATCGGTCCAACTTTGTTGAAATTATTCGAACTGGCCATTCAGCCATAACGCTTCTACTTCTTCCTTCCACTTTAGCCATTAAAGTTTCAAAACTTGATTTAAAATTTTTATGTATCACAAATATGAATCGTTTCAAGCGAATTATATATCAAAAGACTCAAAACATTGAGAGGATTTCATATCTAAAATTTGAGATTGTTTAGCGGAGATTTTCAGTTGGTCGAAATCAAATAAAAAGAAGTAAAATTAGTCGCAATAAAATCACATGTATAGTTAAGCTATATTCAACTTTTTGAGTGTATCATAATGCATAGTTAGTGTATAGTTTCTATGATGTATTATCGTCTATTGTTCTAGTATATGATTATGTGTTTCGTATTTTCTTATTTTCTGCACCTTGATGTGGCATCCACACTAATTTTAATTTGTAGAAACAATGGTAGTTATTAGCAGAGGTGAATCCAAGTTTTGAAGTTTATGAATTTGTATAACAACCTCAAGTTAATATACAATAATAATTAAATTCACATTCCAATATTATTTATAAAGATTTAATAAACTTTTATTATTACATATACAAGCATTGAACCAAAACTATTGCCCAGCAAAATACCATTACTTATTAATGGCTTGACTGGCTATGAACTTGTAATTGTATTATATTGTAATAATCTAACAGAAAAGGTTTGCCATCAAAGTCATATGACCTATTATCGACTGTCCGTTTCAATTTGTTTGTCTTATTTTTTTAAGTCTGTTTAAAAAAGAATATTTGTTTCCTCTTTTATCAACTCTCTAGTTTCAACTTTCCACGTGACATATTTAAAATCACAAAATTAAAAGACATTTTGATATATTCTACTTATCTTGAGTTTAAGACCACAAAATTTAAAAGTCTTCTTTATTTTTTAAAATTCCATACTAAGTTAAAATCGGACAAACAGAGAGTAGCATTTTGCTTGTGTTATGTTTCTCAGTTGCATGAGGCAGAACAATAACTCATTTTGTAACGTACCACATGTATATTTCAATTTTAAATTTAGTAATAATCGTATAGGTTAGGTTATGACTTAGTTTTTAGGTCATTTCAATAATCCGCTTTAGCCCAAGTTCAGCCCAATCTGTCCGTTTGATACTCCTAGTTTTTTTTTTATGACAAGGGAAATCCGCAGCCGCTACCCTTTGGGTGCGTATAGGGTAAATCCCCGCTCCTATGCAATAGCTTGCAAACCACATAGGAGAGGTAACCCACACTAGGCAAGCCCGGTGCGACGAGCTCAACCAGAAGGCAAACCCCTTGCTTTCATTGGCAAGGGGTTTCGAACTTGAGACCTCCGACATGGAAGTCCCAAGTCCAAACCACTGAACCACGCCCGAAGGGTCCGTTTGATACTCCTAGTTGCACCTATTCTTTGCTACTACTGTGTAATTTCATTGGAAGAAACTTTTTCTATGGTTGTTAAACGAGTTGGGAATTTTCTTTTTAGAAAGATAAGTACACATTTGAAAAAATATTAAAATAGTATTAGTGGTAGACTGGTAGTAAAGTTGTGTGACTTAATAAAGTAGGAGCTTTTGTGTTGATTGATAATAACGCATTATTGATCACACTGTATGTATATAAATATATGGGGTACAAGTTCCTAGCTAGTTAGATATATTCAATGGAGTACCAAAAATTGCTAATAGCTTTCTGCTTCTATTCACATTTTATACTTTTTGTCCATCAATCTCAGCTTACATATGCTGGGCAACATCTCTGTGCCCGCGATGAAGCTTTTTATTTGCTTCAATTTCAGCAAGGCCTCACAGTTGATCTTAGTGGTTATGACTGTGACTATGAGGCCCGAGCTAAGACTTTGTCTTGGAATGTTACAGGAGATTGTTGTCAATGGGATGGTGTTACTTGTCATGGATTTACTGGTCATGTTATAGGACTTGATCTTTCTTGCAGCTTTCTTAACGGAACCATTAATGCTAACAGCAGCCTCACAAAACTTAGTCATCTGCAAAGACTCAACCTTGCTTTCAACAAGTTGAGTAACTTTCCACTTGGGGATAGCATTAGTGAACTCGAAAGTTTGACATATCTCAATCTTTCGAATTCAGTACATATGATAGGGGAGAAGCAGATACCACAAGTATTATCCAACTTGTCTAAATTGGTTTCACTTGACCTCTCCTCGTATTACACTGAACTCAAAGTTGATCGAAAAACCTTCAGAAGTTTACTTCAAGACTTGACCAATTTGGAGGTACTGTTGCTTGACAACGCGGATGCACCATTTGAGTTACCTAAGAATCTTTCTTCTTCCCTTAGGTACTTAAGTCTTGAAAGAACCGGCATGTTTGGGAACATAAGTGAGTTTCAGATATTTCATTTACCAAACTTGCAAGTGCTGAGATTGGGACAGAATCCTTTACTAACAGGCACTTTGCCAATTTTTAATCGGAGTTCCAATGGAAGAAGTGTCTTAGAGTTGGACTTTTTTTACACTGGTATTTCTGGGAAGGTACCCGATTCAATTGGTAATCTCCATTCTCTTTGGTATTTGAACCTCCAGAATTGTCATTTATCCGGCTCGATTCCAGAATCCATTGGCAATCTCACTGCAATCAGAGAGTTGATACTTTCAGAAAACGACTTCACTGGTAATGTTCCCTCAACTGTCTCAAAGTTAAACAAACTCGTTCGTTTAGATCTCTCTTCAAACTCTTTTCGAGGCTCAATTCTAGAATACATTGACAATCTCACTGCAATCACACAGTTGACAATTCCAGATAACAGCTTCACTGGAAATGTTCCCTCAACTATCGGAAAGTTGAACAAACTTAACTACCTTAATTTGGAGAACAATTTTCTTCAAGGGCCTTTGCATCTATCCTTTTGTGACATGTATAGTCTTGTATTCCTCATTTTAGCTCGGAACAATTTCAGTGGTTCAATCCCGGGATGTTTGGGTAACTCCAGTATCTCCATTTCTGCTTTAGACTTGCGAATGAACAATTTGCATGGAGAGATACCAAGATTCTTATCGACAGGGTTACAATATCTTGGTTTATATGGCAATCAATTGGGGGGACAAGTCCCGCGATCCTTGGTTAACTGTACAAGCTTGGAAGCTCTTGATTTGGGGAACAACAAGATAAATGACACGTTTCCGATATGGCTGCAGAAACTACCAAACCTACAAGTTCTGATTCTGAAATCGAATCTCTTTCACGGTCCAATTGGTGATTTGGAGTCCGAGTTTCCATTTCCTGAGTTACGAATCTTTGATCTTTCCTTCAATGGGTTCACTGGAACTTTGCCATCTAATTTTTTCAAAAATTTTAGAGGTATGATCTCCTACAAAGAGTCGACCAGGTCTTGTAGAAGCGAAAATCGATGTCGAAGAGATACAAGCAATGACATAGATTACCTTTACCACGTTAGTTTGGTGATAAAAGGTAATGAGTTTGATATGAGAATCACGCCAATTATGACAAGTGTTGATATATCAAGCAACAGGTTTGAAGGATATATTCCAAATTCCATTGGAAATCTGAGCTCACTTGTGTTACTCAACCTGTCTCACAACAGCTTCCGTGGTCATATTCCTGCAGAATTTGCAAAGTTGCAACAGCTCGAAGCATTAGATCTCTCATGGAACAAACTCATTGGAGATATTCCAGATCCATTGTCAAGTTTGACATTTCTTGAGGTCTTAAACCTTTCCTACAATCATCTGGCTGGACGCATTCCTCTTGGGAAACAGTTCAATACATTTCCAAATGATTCGTATTGTGGAAATCCTGATTTATGTGGATTTCCACTATCAAAGGAATGTGGAAACAGTAATGACTCACCACTTAAACACGATGATGATGATTCATTTTTTGCGAGTGGGTTCACATGGCAAGCTGTGGTAATAGGTTATGGTTGTGGTATGATATTTGGATTGTTGATGGGAGGTCTCATGTTCCTACTGGAAAAACCAAAATGGTTTGTGAACTTTGCTGAAGATATTGCTCAACAAATTGCTGCTAAGAAGCGAACAAGGCAAAAGAAGAGACGCCAAAGACATGGTTTAAGAATGAACTAGCAATATACCAGTATGCATTAAAACCTTTCGTTTTGAATCAGGAACAACACTACAGAGGTTGTTGGATAACTAGATGTTAACTGTTTTTATTTTTTCCTAATATTCAAAACTTAATTTGTCTCTGCAGAGGTTGCTGGAGAGTTGGACAAGTTTATTAGCAAGTTAGTGCTGATGTTCTGGCAAATAGCAATGGATGCATCTGTTTGTTCACTTAATGTGCCAAATACGTATGTAAATGTTACAGTTTATTTCTGTTTGTATGGTTCTTACATGTTGTTTTGTAACGTATTGTATTATATTGTATTGTATTGTTAGTACAACAATATGAATCCTGTATTATCTACTAGATGAGTCAGACCCATGCTTAGCACGAGCTCAACATTCAGGTGATTGAAATCTCTTTTCTTACTTGTATCTTTTCAATTTTTACTTCTTTCTACATTCAAGTAGAATATATCAAGAAATAGAGTACCTATTTCACAAGTAGAGTTATAAATCTTGAGCACTACTTGAAACCTCTTTAGTTTGCTAGTGAAAAATCCATATTCTGCATTTTTTAGGCCTTAGAGAGCACCAGTAATGATGAAGATTCCCTTATATATATACTAGATATGGAACTGTTTTTGTTTTAATTTATGTGGTACATATGAAATTTGAAGTTAATCAATTTTTTAGTATGTTTTTATATATTTTAAGTTGCAAATTATTTGTATTTAGAGTATGTTTTACGTAAATATATTAGAAATCACAATAATTAACAAGTTAATATAAAAAAAAACTTATAAAAAATTCATTGACTTTTGAAATTTCATTTGTATCACATAAATCAGGACCGAGTAATATATATGAAAATTACATAAAACGTATTATAACTCACAATAATTAGCAACTTAAAATATCTATATATCTATATTTCTCCCAATTTATGCGGTATAGATGAAATTTTGAAAGTTAACAAAAACTTTTTATATGTTTTGAAATATTTTAAGCTATTAATTATTATGATTTATAATACTTTTTACATAAAAAAATTATTTATATAAAGTATAAAAGAAAAAATTTAGAAAAAGGAAACATAAATGTCAGCAGGAGTCCAATCTATGTTAATTTCTATGTTTTAATTATTGTAATACCGATTGAATTTGGAGAGCCAACTAAAAAATTTTAAAGGATTTTTTTTATAAATTTTAAGTTGTTAATTATTATAATTTATAATATTTTTATTAATTTTAAACCAATATATGTTTTTCTCTGTCTCAATTACATGAGACATATGGAATTCGGAGAGTCAACTAAAATTTTAAAATATGTTAAGTTGTTAATTATTATACCTTATAGTACTATTACGTGATTTTCAAATAAATATGTATTTTTTAATTTCAATTTATATGTCATTGATATAATTACATATATTAAGTAATGAAGAATTAATGTGTAAATTATGTGACACCTATGAATTTTGGAGTGTAAATCAAATTAGTTATATGATTTTTTTTTAAAAAGCGGTTAATTATTACAATTTATAATACTTTTTATATATTTTTAAAATGATATATATATATATATATATATATATAGATATTAGTATTATAATAAATTAAATTTTATTATTTTAAATTTATGATCTCAATTGTTAGCCTATGCCACATTATAAAATGTTCCAAAGTAGATATCAGATTTACAAAAATGTCGATGTCAGCTAAAGTAATAAAATAACATCTAAGGGCATGAACCTATATATGTATATATAAACCTGAATATTGACAATTTGATGTGGCATCTCTCTATGACCAGTATTTGTATTCATCTTTTTTTTTCTTTTTTTGACATTTTATCTTTGTTTTGTATTTTTTATTTGTATTTTAAAAAAAAGTATTTATGTCATACCCGATTAATTATGCCCTTTATAACATCCATTACACTAATATAGATTTAAGTAAATGAAAATGGAAGATGAAAAGATAAAAACTATTCATTTTTAATAACTGTTTATAATTATTTAGCCTATAAAATAAAAACAAAATAGTTGAGCATTTGTAACAAATAAGAACAAATTTCTTCACTTTGGCTCTTCTTCTTCTGACGATAATGATCAATATATGGTATCAACTTTTGTCACTAAGATGTCCATCAAATTTCTAGGTCATGTGACTTATTTAACAAAAGAGAAAGAGAGAATATCTCATTATTCTTGTGAAGACATTGATGTAAAGAAAGAGATTATGTAACAAAAAATTCTTTTCAAAATAAAAGACTTTTTGAAAAAATGTTTATTCCTCCTACAAGGAGAGAAAATTCATTGTGGTTGAGAAATTTATAAGAAGCCTGATTAGTGTTTCAAAGGGTAAGAAAAATTATTTGGAGAAAAAAATCATTCTATTTATGGAATTCGTATCAAATTAGGAGGAGAACAAGCAAAAATTTATTTTGTGATTTGAAAAGAGAGAAAATTAGATATTATTTCTTTCAACCTCATTATTCTTCTAATTTCTTTCTTCTTTTATTTTGTCTTCATTTTTTGTATCTTTAATTAAAGTTTTTTTTTCTTATTTATCTTTAATTAAAGTTTATATATATTTTCTTAAAAAAGAATTTTAAAAGATGATCATATTTAGTTCCTTTCCTCATCAATGCTATTAATCTCATAATTAGTGTTATTTATATTATTTTATTAATTACTTTTTTTTCTTTCATTTAATTATTTATTTGAAGAAATTAGTTATTATAACTTTATAAGAATTACACATGTATTTTACATAATTGATTTGTTATTTTTAAAATTTTTGGATCATTCTTCATCTTAAAGTTTCTATCTATATGTAATAATAAAGCTAAAATAGAAAATGTGGGGTAACATCTTCTTAGCAATAGATACTTATTTATTCTGATCAATGTTTCTGACATTTTTTGTTTTTTTTTTCCTTAAAATAATTGTTGCCTCGATTTTTAGTTTTACTTTTATTTTTTTAGCATTTTCTAATTTTAAAAAACTGAAAAATTTATATTGAAAATTTACAAAATATAAAAAATGATTTATTTAACTCCTATCATCACCAATATTATTATTAATTTGTTTTACTTCTTTTCTTAATCTTCATTTCATCATTAATGTAGTTTATATCATTTTCTTAGATATATATATATATTTGTGACATTTCTTAGAAGTTAGGATTACTATTTATTTAATTTTTAAAATTTTTGAATTCTTTTGTCATACTAAATACAACATGTTTTATTATAATTACATTTAATATATTAATCAATATGTTGTACGAATGAAAAGAAAATTATCATTTCACAAAAACAAAGGTTAAAATAGAATTTATTATGATTAAGGAAAGATAAAATTATTATTCCAATATCCATAACCATATGTAATACATTAAAAATTAATTGAAAAGCTGTAAATGGAAAAGGAATCACCATTTAAGGAATCATTATTTTTAAATTTTTGGATCATTTCTTCTTGTAAAAGTTTCTATCCATACGTAACAATAAAGTTAAAATAGAAAATGTAGTGACATCATTCTTACTAATAGATAGTTATTTATTTTTATTAACTTTTTTTGACAATTTTGGTTATATTTTTCTTTAAAATAATTATTGCCTCAATTTTTTTTAACATTTATTTTTAATTTTAAAAGATTGGAAATTTTATGTTAAAAATTTTAATAATAGAAAAAATGATTTATTTAATTTTTATCATCATCAATACTACTAATTTTTTTGACGTTTTTTCTTAATCTTCATCTCATCATTAATGTTATTTATATAATTTTGTTTAATCACTTATTTTTTCTTTTTTAACTCTTTTATATATATAAAGTTGGATATGTAAATGATGATGTGACATTTCTTAGAAGTTAAGATTACTATTTATCTAATTTCTCCAATTTTTGAGTTCTTTTGTCATACTAAATACAATATGTTTTATTATAATTACATTCAATATAGTAAACAACATGTTCTAGGAATTAAAACAAAATTATCATTTCAGAAAAATAAATGTTAAATTATAATTTTATTATGATTAAGGAAAAATAAAGATATTATTTGAATATCCCATAACCACATTCAATACATTAGAAATTAATTGGATATAACTGTAAATGGAAAATGAATCACGATTTAAGGAAAATAAATGTTTGCAATACCATAATAATTAAGGAGAGAGTAAGATATTATTTTAATATCCTAATTCAGAACTTTTAATCTACTATTCAATTAAAAATAAAATGCATTTAATAACATGAAAAAGTTATTAGTTTAATATTTTTTCTCATTGTACTAATTCAATTCAATCAAACTTAATTTTAAAGATAAAATAACAGCTTCATTTTAATTGTTGTCAATATATTTCAAAAAATTATCGTGAAAAGGCTTTTCTTACACCTTATTTTAATTTTCATATACTATTATTATTTTTTCTGTCATTTTTCAATGAATTTTTATTTCGATTTAAAATTTAATGTTTATTCTTAAAACTCTAATGGTAAAGGTGGAGTAGAACATAATAAATGATGATTCTTCTACTAAATAAGAAAATATAACGAAATTGAAAGGGTGAAGGTTTTTTTTTTGTAAATGGATAGGAAATTCTATTAAGGTATCATTACGTCATTATTCAATATATTTTTAATATAAATTTCATTTGTTGATGCATTTGTTTAGTACTCCCTCTGTCCCTAATTACTTGTTTACTTTTCCTTTTATAGTTGTCTCTAATTACTTGTCCATTTTGACAAATCAAGAAAGAATATTTTTTTACCTATTATACCCTCAATTAAATGACTAATTACTTTGAAAATTGCAGAACTTTTCATCTACTTCATAATTAATAGGGGTAAAATGATAAACTCACTATGTCATTAATTGATTTCTTAATAAATGTGTAAATTTAAAAGTGGACAAGTAATTAGGGACATAGGGAGTATTACAGTATTATTTGACATTATGAGATATTTCTTAGACATTTAAGGAGAATGGTAGACCGAAATATATATTATATATTAAAGGATGAACTTCATGCAATGGAAGAATTTGTTATTAGCAAATATATTTTAACTTATTTGATAAAAAATATATTCTTCCTCATTTAATAGATGTAAAATTTGTGAAGCTTTATTTTTTTTTCACAATCTTCATATTATTAAGACAAATAATAATATTACGATTAAACAACAAAGTAAATATAAAATTAATAAAAAATATTTAATTTAAATGATCGCGCGAAGTGCGGCCAAGTTCTCTAATTTAAAACAAAAAAGTAAAATTTAAATGGGTCTACTATAGAATTCCTAGAAATCCAACTTGAAAAATTATGTTAAAAATGGAAAATAAAAAGTGAAATAAATTTAATTGAGAGTTATCCTTCGTCTGTCCCATTTTATATGA